TATGCACCTCCACTTCTTGCTATTGGAGCAACCACTTTGGGGTGCTTTTGGTATCTCTGTTCCAAATAAGAGGCATGCCCAGAGTAAAAAGGAAAAGGTAAAGGGACCCCTGACCATTAGGTCCAGTCATGGCCGACTCTGGGGTTGCGGCGCTCATCTCGCTTTATTGGCCGAGGGAGCCAGCATACAGCTTCCGGGTCATGTGGCCAGCGTGACTAAGCCGCTTCTGGAGAACCAGAGCAGCGCACAGAAACGCCGTTTACCTTCCCGTCGGAGCCGTACCTATTTATCTACTTGCACTTTGACGTGCTTTCGAACTGCTAGGTGGGCAGGAGCAGGGACCGAGCAACGGGAGCTCACCCCGTCGCGGGGATTCGAACAGCTGACCTTCTGATTGGCAAGTCCTAGGCTCTGTGGTTTAACCCACAGCGCCACCCACATCCCTTTAGCAACACACAAAGAGGGCATGAATGTCTGCTGCGTGTTGCTAAGCATATGCTCAGAGTGAAGCATGCCCCTGCTTGCAATTTTAATTTGGAGTGGGGGAAGACAGTGTTCCTCCATTAACAGAAGTTTAGGGAAGACTGGATTAGATTCACTTGTCTTAGGTTCGTTTAATAAAGCCAACTTACCCACTAAATCCCATTCTCCGTTGGATATGTAATTGGAAATATCAGCTTCGAGCATCTGCAGATCAAGCAGCCAGCCATTGTGTGTCCAGGAGCCAAACTTCAAATCGCATTTCTGCACATCAAAAGGAAACCAGCGGACATCAATGTAACATGTGCTCTTCAAGATGCCTGTAAGTAATTAGAAACGGGCATGTAAATGTTTCTAAAGGGGGAAAGCAGTGAGATCTTAAAGGCAAGAGAGGAAGGGGAATGAAATTGCAGTCATATCCACCTGTTATCAAGAGTTCAAGGGAGCAGACAGCTTTGAAATGCATTCCAAATTGATCTGCTAACAAACGGTGCCTATAATTCTACGTTTCAGTCATGGTCTTCAGAGGACCATCTGATGAAAAAGCTGATTGAAAATAATAACTGGCGCCTCACAGTTAAGCTGCATGGAGCTTAAGCCTCCAAGAAACAGATCTCAGGTGCTTTAGCTGCATTGCATCTACTTTAGGGGCTGTGTGGCGTATCAAACCACCGCAAACAAAACGGAGAGCAACAGCAGAATTGCTAGTTGTGGTCGTCATCCATACTGCTAAGCAGATGTTCTTAATTGTAGTAATGTTTCATGCTTCCCACTTCACTAGGAGGTAGGAAATGTCAAGATGGGCAGCTTTGTGAGGAGAGACTCCTTCATGCTATTACAGACTTGGGCCAGGTTATCTTAAAGAGTACCTCCTCCCATAGATGCCACCTGAACCTTAAGATCCTCTTCAAAGGACCTTCTCCTTTTGCCTCCTCCAAGTCAGCTGAAGCAATTATCAAGTACAGAGCCTTTTTGGTAGTGGCACCGTTCCTACTGAATGACATTCCAGAGATTCTTGCCTGGCCCAACTCACCTGACCCTGCTTTATACATGATTGAAGCAGATCCTGGTTAAACACCCACGAATTGGGCATGATCACATGCACTTTGATCAGCTGTGAAAATTGCAACCTGCTCGTAGTCTAGCTAAGTTCCATGGATTATACTACTTTTGCAAACTTCTGTTTACTGCATATCACCAAACGTTCTACAAGTCTGTTTCAAATTACAACTGCAATGCTTCTTCAACAAAAAACGACAACAAAGACACTTTGGAGCGTGTGCTGACATTCATAAAAGAGCATATAATGGCCATATATTCCCTTGGAATTGATTTCATTTTCTTATAACTTGCTCTCCAGTAAAAACCCGACATCCCCCCCCCCTTTGTCTTTGATTTACTTTGCTTTTCTCGAGGGGCTGTCTGCTCTGGCATAAATGATTCATGTGACACTAGTCGAAAGCTATGTAAGGGATTAATATTTATCACGTATTATTTGTCATTTAATTATTTCATGTTCCGCCAGTTAAAATCAGAAGCAGAAAGGAGAGAATAACAAAATGCCTCAAAGGTGCTGTTTGTTGTGCAACTTGCGGTGGTGGACAATTAGCTTGTTTTTGTTAGATAGCCAAGTTTTATTGGCTGTTTTGAATGTGCAGAGACTCGATTACGTTACATGCTAGTGACAGTTGGCCTTTCATCACTTGATTGGCAGGCGGAAGAGAGGTAGGCTAAGCAGCTAGGGACACCCTGGTCTGGTTCCTGGCTTCTTCCTTTCCCACTTCTGAGGTGTCTCCTCCCTCAAGCAATGGTGGCAACTTGGCTGAAGGGTCTAGAAGTGGAGGGAAGTCTCTCCTACCCCTGCCCTGACTCTCAGGCTGCAGACACACCCAGTGCCAGATTTACGTATAAGCTAAACAAGCTATAGCTTAGGGCCCCAAAAAAATTTAAAGGGGAAAAAACCTGGATGTACATTTCCAAAACATAAGATAAAAAACAAATAAATTAGAACCTACATACAGCAACAGTGTTTTGTGTTGTGTAGGCTCCTATGATGTAAGTAATGGGCCCCACCTGCTCCCTAAAATATCACATATTTTGTTATGTGCAAATGGCTTTAGATGCCTATTAGGTCCATAAATTGCCATATAGCATATATTCAACACAAAAAAAATTGACAATTTGTTGTTGACAACGGACAGCTGGACATATAAAGGGCCCCATTACCTTCAGTAGCTTAGGGCCTCATCAAACCTAAATCCGGCCCTGTGCACACCATGCATTGAAGCAAATGTCTTCCCTCGGAAGGATCCTGCAAACTGTAGTTGACTCCTCACAGAGCTGCTGTGCCCAGTCTCTTTTAACAATCTACAGTTTCCAGGATTCGCTGGCGGGAAGGCAAGGGCCCACAGTGATCAAAGAGTGCTTTATGAATGGCGTGTAATTATCTGAGATGGAACAACAGCTTGCCTTAGCCCAACGGAGGAGGCACGGTAGTGGCTCAAGAAACCAACTCCTTTAAAGAGATCAACTCCAATTTGGTCAAAAAACAGAAGAGCAAGGAGTTGGTAAGAGGCTTGTTCTTTGAACTTCTGCACTCTCCCAAATGTCACTTTGGCTTTCAGTACAACTTTTTCCTCAAGTAAGTTTAGCGACAGCCCCGCACAGCATATTTATACTCTAGATTGCAATGACAGAATCATCCCCATACATGTTTTCATACGTGGCATATTCACCTCATCTGGTTATCAGAATCACAAAAAGGAACTTCCGAGTGTTAGGTACTTGTCAAGACCTGTCTTTCCTAATACTCTCTCTTTTTTATATCCTTTTCAAATTTATACATTTCATTAATTTTACAATCCATTTACCATTTCAAAACTTGACATCCTTCCCCCTCTTTCTGCGGTTCCTTAAATTTATTTTTTTTCACATCTTCTGCAAATCCAAATTCATTTAATTTACTCATTTAATTACCTACTGTAAATATATACTCTTATAAAACTTCAGGTTATTACAATAATCCTGCTAATGTTTTAATCTGTTTACAATTTATCTGTAAATATTCAATAAACCATTTCCATTCTTTTATAAAGAGTTTGTTATCTTAATTTCTTATTCTTCCAGTAAGTTTTGCCATTTCTGCATATTCCGTAAGTTTTTGTATCCATTCTTCCTTTGCTGGGACTTCTGCTTCTTTCCATTTTGGGGCAAGTAACATTCTTGCTGCTGTAGTAGCATACATGAATAGGTTTCTATACAACTTAGGTAGTTATGTCTCTATAATTCCCAAAAGAAAAGCTTCTGGGTTTTTTATATATATAAAAGTTATTTTGAACACCTTTTTCAATTCATTATATTTCATTTCCCAGTAGGTTTTACCCTTACTACAAGACTACCACATATGATAAAAAGAACCTTCTTTCTCTTTACATTTCCAACATTTGTTTGATTTAGATTTATACATTTTTGCCAATTTATTTGGTATTAGATACCAACAAGATATCATTTTCATATAATTTTCTCTTAAACCATAATACACTGTAAATTTTATGTCCAGATTTCACAATTGTTCCCATGCTTCCATATCTATATTATGACCTATATCTTTTGCCCAGTGTATCATTGAGGATTTTACTTGCTCATCCTTTGTCATTCGTAATACTCTCAGGCACGAACTTCATTAAAGGTTTGTGCAGTTTTAATTAAAGCATATACTAACAATACAGTTTCGTTTAAGCCTTCTAATCCACAGTCACATATATGAATTCCTGATCCAGGGGATAACTCAATATATGAAAAGCCTCTTACCTGGAGGGATATACTGGCAAGATCCCGTATAGTTCACTAGAACATTTGTATGAAACGTTGCATCAAATCTCTCGTCTGCACTACAAAAGACAGCAGAAAAGGTACGTGGGGTGTTGTTTACATTTGCATTTGTTGCAATGTAAGAGATGCAAAACATTGTAAAAGATGATCCTGTTGTTTTTAGTAAGACTTTAAACTGATTGAAGTTCTCTGTCGCCATTTTTGTTTTTTTAATGTTTTCCAGTAGAAATATTGGAATAAATCTCAAAATCATTGGCTACAGGAGGATAAGTCAGTGCTGAGAATGACACAATACAGGCTGAACTCTGATCCTTTAAAAATGCATGATCAGCTGTAATTACTTCTTCCACCCTACAAACAGATATATACAGTATATATTTATTAATTGCAGGCCACTCATGTAGAATTAAGATTTTATGCATTTTCACATGGTGAATCTGAATTGCACTTCCCCCAAGTGATTAACAATGGGGTTATGACCAAAAATCAAAAAGATGACCAACGTGGCTGTTCTAAATGGCAATAAAATCCAGATCTATATGCCAGAATCATGGCAGAAACAGCCAATATAAAGCAATTTAAAAAACAAATCCTCTCCCCTCCAAAATTTGTCTTAGAACCATAGAATTGTAGAGTTGGAAGGGACTATGAGGGTCATCTAGTCCAACCCCCTGCAATGCAGGAATCTTTTGCCCAATGTGGGACTCAAACCTACGACCCTGAGTTTAAGAGTCTAGTGCTCTACCAACTGAGCTATCTTGCAGCAGCCATCTTTGTTTAGGGAAGAGGCTCTGCTCAGAAGGCTCAAATTTGGTACAAAGCATCAACTGCATTAAACTGCCCTTGCTTCAAAAGGCACTTGATTAAACACTGAGGTTTTTAAACCTCAAGTCCCCCTTCAATTCGGTGCAGCTGTTATGTTACTATACAAAGGGACATTCAGTTTCGGCACCTGAAATACACAAAATCCAACCTTCAAATCTAATTCTACTCACACAGCCTACAAACAAGAAGAACCAATTTGCCTACCACTGGTGATGGCTAAAATTGTTTCAGACAGGTACTAGAAGCAGTACTTTTAAAGATTTCCTGTTTAAAGTTTAAAAATTGCCACAAAGAAAGACAAGTCAGCAGCCACTGTATATAAGAAAATGGAGCTATAACCCCCTTTTATATTGGTTGCCACTTGGTATTGCTTGAGCTTCTACTTTTTTAGATCAATAATTTTGTACTGTTATATTAACAATGGCTTCTCTATAACTCACCTTGGGAGTCTAAGGACTGGAGGGGAGAATAGCAATGCTTTAAGTAATAAATGAATAAATACAATGAGCCCTAATCCTGACAAGGCTTCTATGACGTTGACTTGGTTTGCCAGTGTTAGGTCTTGTGCCATTTGCCCGATACCACATCCTCCAACATTACTTTTATTCTACAACGAAGCTTAAGAGCAGGACTCCAATTGAAGGATCGTAAGTTGGAGGGCTAAAAAGGTAAAGGGACCCCTGACCATTAGGTCCAGTCGTGACCGACTCTGGGATTGCGGCGGTCATCTCGCTTTATTGGCCAAGGAAGCCGGCGTACAGCTTCCGGGTCATGTGGCCAGCAGGACTAAGCCGCTTCTGGCGAACCAGAGCAGTGCACGGAAACGCCGTTTACCTTCCCACCAGAGCGGTACCTATTTATCTACTTGCACTTTGACGTGCTTTCGAACTGCTTAGTCAACCCAATAAATGAACATTTTGGGGAAACAGGGTGGTTCTCAGCCAAATTACACATGGCAATGAAAATGTAAAATTCCAGTTGCCGCAATGTGTTGGATGCAAAACCACTAAGCATCCTCCTCCTTCCACTCAGTTTGATTTCCTTTGATTTGTAAAAGAACAAGGCTCATCACATTGTGCTATCTGATCACACATTCTTGCGTAATTGCAATTATGACTTAATAGAGCTATGTCAATTTCCATCTGTTCCTCAACTGCTCGGGTTTTTAAAACAGCCTCAAACATGCCTTCCTTACCTGTTGTACAGAAGAATGTCTGGCACCCAAATCTGATCAGATGGGAATCTTAAATTCTGAACGCCTGGATATTCATATTGATCCCATGACAAATACGTGTCCATCCAGGACTATGGAAAAAGATGGTTTTGCAATTAAAGATCATAGATGCTGGAAAATCTGCTATCAAAAACAATTAGTACAATATGAATAATGCCAACGACAGAAGGCGAGGTTTATCATTGATGGGGCACAATGGTACTCCCTCTTCTAAATTTTCTTTCGCAGATTCTCCTCGGCAGTGATCTCAAGTCCCTCCTTCATCTGCCATGCCTTTGCCTGCCCTTCCTCCCTCTAGGGCCAGAATATGGCAGCCAACAGCAGAATATTTCTGTCTGCCCACAATACCCCGTGACATTAGAAAAGCTCAGCAAATCCATGTCAGAGGTTTCACCGCCACCACCAAACACTGAGGCTCAAACAGCGCGTGACAGTGATAGATCCATTTGTTTAGACCCATGCCTGCCCCCAAACACTTACAAAACAGGGGGAAATCCAGCATTCTGTACAAAAATAACACAAGTGGAGCTGAAACTTTCCCCTCAGTGCCAGATTAAACCCTGTGGAAGCCCCTAGGCAGTCAATAATTTGCGGGTGCCCCTTGCAAATTATCTTCTAATATGTTTTTGATTTGACCAACTAGCAATTTTAACAAACCAATTTCAAGATCTATTCAATATTATTTTGATCTGTTATCGCGGGACCCCCAAAAGGTATGGGGCCAATAGGCCAGGGCCTACTCTGCCTATTTGGTAATCTGGCACTGTTTCCCCTGTACTGTTTCCCTTACTCCTCACCAGTCTCTCCCCCAATATAATTTCCTATGCATTTAGCTCTGATACCAGAAGTGATCCTGACAGGGATGAACACACTTTAGGAAACTGAGAGACTAAGCAGGCTGTGTGCTGTGGGTTACCTCTTTTGACCTGTGTACTTTTTCGCTTTCTATGTGATTGGGGCTGATCTGGATTCAGCAAATCTGCCACTATCACAGGTGGTTTGAGCTTGAGTGCCAATACAGCCAGCTGTAGAGTTGGTCCGAGGTCCGAGGCAAGTGGAGCTGTCCATCTCTGCCTCTTCTACTCTCCCTAAGTACAAGTTTTCCCAACGTAGGGTTGTACCGGTGACTTACATTTGGAGCTGTGAAAGACTACCACCCGACATGCAAAGGGGCTTTGGTTCACCACTCATGCACCACATGGAACAAGTCCTCTATATGGTAGGGAAATTAGAGGCACAACAGCCACCAAATATGGGAGTCACGTGATCAGCTCTCCCTTCCCCAGCCTGGTGCCCTCCAGACATTTTGGTCTAAACGGCCCATTAACCCCTGCCAAAACATTCTGGTTGGGGCTGATGGGAGCTATAGTCCAAAGTGTCTGGACATCACTAGTTTTGGGAAGCCAAAGTAGAACATACCAGTGTTCTGCATTATTATTATTATTGTTATTTCACAACACCCCTTTCTGCATTTTACTGCCTCTGCTCTGTATCAGTGGCTGCTGCTGGCAGGAGGGAGTAGTAATGTAGGAAGGTAAAATGTAGTGGTGTCTATTATTATTTATTAGACATATGTAGCTGCCCATCAGTGAACATTCCCCATGAAGCTTACAACAAAATATGAAGAACTCAGTATACCACAATAATTTTAAAAAACTGTAGTAAGCAATTTATAAAACCCTTGGACAGAAGCTGGCTCAAGTAATTCACGGCCAAATTTAAAACATAGTTTAAAAGCCTGGGGGAATAAAAAGATCTTCATCTGGTACAGAAAATTCCACATAAAAGGCACCAGGCAGGCCTCTCTAGGGAGGCTGTTCCATACCTGAGGTTCCACCACCAAAAATGCCCTTTCCTTGATAGGTATCAAGAAAAGGGTCTTTTCAGTAGTGGCACCTCAAGTATATAACTATATAAATTCATGTTACAGAGGGGGAATCAAAACTTGCATCTACAATTTTCAACAGCAGTATAGTCTTAGCCTCACATTTACTTTGGCTCAAAACTTCATGTGGAAATGAGTTACTCGGTGTTCTGACATCTGATAAGATCAAATCAGGATTTTATTTTATTTTTTAAAAAGCACAGCAACATTCCACAATTCATTTTCTTCTCCGTTCTCTTTTTTTTCTCCATATGAAAAACCTTTCTCCGGAAAATCATTATTTTTAACAACCTGTCGCATAGTTTATGTTGATTAATGGCAAAATTACTTACCATCTGTAGCCAAGCATTTGTTATCAAGACCTGGTTCTTTTCATCCTTAAAGAAAATAAAAAGCGGGAGAGGGGAATGATGAAAATAAACAGTTTTTGTCAATGTATGAATAATTTTATTTATATTTTATCCATGTTAGTTCTTGGAAAGATAGCCAAACACACATACACCCAATGGGTAGAATTTGGAATCATCATAGCCAGCTTCTGGCATTTAAAAAAAAGATTCAGATGATAAATAATTGTGATTCAAGGACCCGCCACCCGTTTGGGGATAAGAAAGACACATGGACACAGTATATTAGGTTAATGGGCTAAAAAAGGCCACAACTTTATTGATTACAGCATGTGAGAGGTATTGGCTTAGGCATTGGATAAAACAACAGAGCGTGACTCCACTCCCTCAGGGAGGGGTGAGTCTAACAAGTGTTAACCACCAGTGGGAAGAGCCAGTTGAAGCAAATACAACTGAAAGCTCCCCCTGATGTCACCGGGGGTCGTGCCATGGCCGTAGCCACCAGCAAGGGCGTCGGACAGGATCCACGACCGCCGGATTCCTTTACCAGAATACCCATAAAGTGGAGGGGTAGGCAATGGCCACACTCTGCCCGCCAATACACAAACATATTCCAGTGCCTAACCGCCAATACCTAAAAGTTGTGACGATTTGCTATGAGGTAGGCGAAAAACCAAGTGGCCGGTGCCAATTTGCCAGTTGGATAAAAATTCCTAGCAGGCCCCTTGGACAACCAAGGCGACCAACCATAGGTCCATAGCAATGTCAAGAACCAAGCAATGAACTAGAGGGAGGGTAGGTGGGTGATCCGACGAAAACCAGCAGCGGAATGAAAGGGAAGTGCTGCCGTGGCCACGTTTGAGCGGCAAAACCCCGCCCCCAAGCCTCCACCTGGTTGGTTGGCTACCTGGGGGCGTGGCACGGCAGCCAGGCCAGCTGGGCAGGGGGCTGGAACGCCCCCTGCCAACGCAGGAAACGGCTTCTGCTCACAACTCCTCCCCTCTGTAAGGAGGAGAGGCTTTAGTGGTTGCAATTCTTGCACATCCTAATGATATATTCGTTTACATTCGTTTGAAGTGCACCAGCATTCTTGTGTCACAGAATCCAGTCGTGAAGTGTTCAGCCAGAGGCCATTACAACATAAAATATTAAAAATAAGAAAAAGAGTGGCAAAATGAAATCAATAGCATAGAGTCCAAATAAAAAAAAATATGGACACAATCTAGCCAAAGTTAAGCACCTTTGAGGCCCACTGAGAGAATTAAAAATTGATTTCAAACCTCTGAAATCAATAGGATGTAGAAGTGCTTGACCTCAGTGGAACATGTACTATAATTCTAACACAGAAGTAAAAGTATAGGCTTAATCCACATTGTCCCATGCATACAGCAGAAAGAGTTGAACTACGTGGCTCCTCTCCACATTCTTCAGTGATATTGTCCTATAAAGTTTGCATCCAGTGCTGGATTTAC